GTAGGTACTGTATGTTAGAAACGATCCTAGCACGAGAGGGGTGAGTTGCACACTTGGACACACACGCACCAGAAGCACAAGGACACAGAGACAGAGTTACTTGAAATTTTAAGATCTGCGTTTCACAGCCATATAGATTTTTGATGAATTCCACACATAATTTGGTTTGGATCTGTGGTTCTGTGTCGATGTAGCTGTATCTCTGACTCTTGTATCGATTTCCTGATAAGTATCAGTTCAACTTTGCACCTCTGGCAGCTACACCGATCGTACCAAAGCCTAAAGATAGGATACCAACACATATAGTATAAAATGCACTTTTCAGTGCCTTGAATTGTAGCCTTTGCTCATAAGTTACAGAGACGTTTGAGGGTCATATTCATGCTTCAGGATTTTAAATTTTTTAATTACATATTTATTACATAATACCGTTTTCACATAGCACATTTCTCAATACAATTGCTCCATATCAGGTTCTTTCAACGCCATTCTTACTCCTTGTGAAAAGAATGATATAACTGCTCCCACTTTGCTGAGTGTCCAGTTCACACATCAATGTAGAGCAGAATTCCATTGAGCCTCAGTAGATGGGAAACCTCATGCCTCCTGCTGTATTATTTGATTTGGTCACACATGCTTTTCAACTGGAATTAATCTAAAACGGACAATCTGACACTTTCCAAAAATGGCGTTACTTTTAACAGCGTGGTAGGCTGATACTGCCACTGTTAATCTGCAAGTTTAACTCAAATGTCAAAAGCTTTCAACTGTTATATCTCCCTCCTTTGTAATGTCATAATTTTTAAATCAGAAAAATGGATGCTTTGTCAACACGATTATGTTGTAATTGATCACACCATTTTCTCCTACCTCAAACACCAACTTTTATAATTATTTTTGTTCTCTCTAGGTTCTTGCTCTGGCAGTTGCTCCTTTCAAAGTCTGTTAGTCTAATGTAAACACTATTTGTTTGGCATTTTGCAAAAATACCAAGCAGTCAACCTCACTAATAAGCCCTCATTAGGCCGGCCCCTAACTAGTGTGAATTCCTGCTGAGAATGCTCCCCCACAGCAGGCATAAATCTTCATGTATGATCGATAGTCAATGACATTCTTTAGCACAATTTATGAGGCACATTATCTTTCCACTAAAGTATGCAAACACTGGCACAGAGCTGGAGTAACATTTGTTGTATTGGTCATCATGCATCAAACGTTTTCTATTCCAGGTTGAGGCATGCTCAAGAGAACAGATAAGTTAAATCCTCGTGGTGGTGGCTCATCCTCTTTACTCAGAAATAGAGGCAACATTAGAGGCGCCAATTGGCTGTTGAAAGTCCTCTGTGTACGGTAATGATGGCACTACATTGCTAATTGCTTGTTCAAGTAAGCCCAAAACACACTGGAGAAACTGTCCAAGAGTGCTAAAAACAGGAAAGCAGCACCGATCACCAATCTGGGCCCGTCTATGGAGGTTCATACCAGACGCACAATAAACTTGGAATCCTGATGTGAATATTAGATATGTGCTGGATTTGCACAAAATCGTATATAGATATGGAACTCTGTGTTTATACAGAAGGCTAAGACCACCTTTATGCCACATCCAGACGTGATTGCCGTGAGGAATACTTAACAGATTCAATTTAAACTTGTTCAGAAAAACAACCAAGACGACAACAAATTACTACAAAATAGAAAATAAAATAAAAGGTCTGAAAGCATTGTTTTCTTTCTGCATCCCCAGTTTGAGTTACTTTTGGCTGCTAGGACTTCAGTAACTACTGACATATATAGAGAAATTAGCAACTGGTACCATCAAATGTTTATTTTATCTTATTTTATTAATTGCAGATTACAATAAAGTCTGCACTTTACTTCCCCAAAAGGTTTCAGTTGCAGTTTTCTATGGCCAATTACTTTTTTCTTTTTTAAATTACTTGAAACTAGGATTAATCCTCTATATTAAAAACAAATGTACAGCCTTAACACATTATAAACTGACAAGATGAGGCCTGTATTTTCTTCAGTGAGAGAGCAGTGGCTGTGGAATAGGAGGGGGCGTTCGCTGTTGCCTACATAAAAGAGCACATATTTCCTTTTCTCCTACAACTGTCACTGACGTTTGACCATGTCAGACATTTTCCAGGATAATGATAACACCCTTGGAGGAGCTGATTCTTTATGATATATTGTGTAACTCATAGGGAAGTGACAAAAAAAGCCATTTACTTTATAAGAGGTTTATTTTTCTAAATGAGGTGTCTAAAGCAGAAAGGTGGCAATAAAATGTTGCATAAAATGGGATACACACATGTTCACAACTAACAACAAACTGCGTACTGTTTTACAGTCTTATTCAGTTTGACTAAACCTACTAAACCCCACTTCCACTTCAGGGAACCAGAAAGTACTGCAGTGAATGAATCCACATTGTATGATCTCCCTGCGTGGCAGGTCCTTTAATTCACAGCACAAAACTCAATGGAAACTCTTCTTCATCCTTTCTCTTTTGTTCCGTGCATCACACAGTAACAGAAAAGTAATAAACACATACAAACAGCAAAAACAATCAAGCCACAAACACACAACCTCAATTGTTTCTAAAGATCGCTACACCTGAATATGAAACTTTAATGGTTAAATATCAATGGTCAATATAAGCTTCTAGTGCAATAACGCAGACATTATTGGATTCACTGTGTTGAGAACAGAGTGAACGAGCATTTAAGTACATGTTAGCGCTTACAAGATGCCTTTGGGTTACATCCCCCCATAGTTTATCTATCATATCCATCAAAATGTGGAGCAGGTGTTTACTGAGACAGGCCCAAATTTATGAATCATATTTTATGAGATTACTGGTCTCGTTCAACTACACCAATGTCAAATGGTTGCAAACATCTGTAACTGATCATAATTTCACTTCCATTAAGTGCACATTAGCTAGAGCATCACAGACAGAGAAGAGAGATGCAGTATAATTCATAATTTAGAAACAAACAAACAAACGTGGTCTGAATGAATTTTTATATCAGCGTCTGAAATAGTGGCTCAACTCATAATTATTTTTGAACAATTAAACCAATAACTTTGCATCCATTGGTGCAAAATGTGCCCTGTGTGTTTCCTGGTTTCCAGAATGCAAAATTCTGAGGTGAATGTTATATACAGGACAGTGACAGATATAAAATGAAGGCTTCTTTAGGGATATTTTTGGCTCAGAGGCTCTGAGACATACGGGCACAGTTATTATTATTTATGTAAGCATGTCATCCTCCTGTCTAATGAGCCTTTCACCATAAGCGTAATGAAACAGCTTGCATTAACACAGGCTAAATGAACAGCCAAGCACTCCCATGTCTATGCAGCAAGATGAAAGCAGATGCTTCCACAACCCAAACACCAGCGTAACAGACCCGGGTTTCTACAGAGAAACAAAAGGGACTCTGAGTCAGTGTCATTCTCGTCAGCTCATTGACTCCGTTCGCAAATTTTGGATTCCCCTGGTCAAACATCATTATGTGAGAACAACGCCTAACCAAGCCATGACCAACTGACCATGAATGAACCCTCAAATTGATTTTTTTTCTCCCATAAACACGGCAATGATAAACACAGGCTAATAAACCTGGACTCAAATTGAATGTCAGCCGTCACACAAGAAGGGTGGCGTTAACAATTTACGCTCCTTTGAGAACCAGCTGCAATGCCTAGACAAGAGGTGTTTCAAAAAATACAGCCCTTACAGCACTATCATGTAAGATTATATGCAATTTAAGTAAATGATGTGCTCTTGGAATTGATGGGTGGAATGTGCAACATAATATATGTGATATGCAGTCCAAATGGGCTCTTATAAGAGAACATTTTCCCTCTGTTTTAATCTGTGAGTATGACTATGCATGTGTGTATGTATATGAGTGTGCATATGAGTGTATGGGGAACTAAAACTGAGGATTAACTATGTACTGGATAATAAGCCAATTTCTCTTGGTCAGTGTCAAAACTGGCATCTAGAAATTACAAACATAACATTATTTAATGAGCATCACATGATTATTCTCTCGCTGTGTGTTGTGTATTTATTTTTATTTTTTTTACCAGCAGATACCAGCCTGAAGCACACAACAGCTCTGTCAAAAAAAACGTTGCCTTAAACTACCCAGTGACACTCCTCTATGTGTGTTAGCTGCCACGATGTGTGGTCAAATATTGTGTAACCCTATTGAAGGACCAAACTTCCAGTAACTTTGTGACAGAACATCATTTGATACACGACAGACCTGAGGTACCATGCAATTCCCTTTAAGACCACAGTGGATCTTCAAGTGGGGTTCAGTATAACAATACACACCTTGTGATTCAGAAACAAAGTGGAAACTGTTCAGCTACTCAGTTCACACACAATGTGCTCTGACAATAAGAAAACAAGAATATAGAACTCAATTCATTCAGTTAGTCTGTTAAAGGACCTTTTTTTTTTTTTTTTTTTTTACAATTTCAGTCAATCATATATGCATGAGGCTACTATCCACTTTCCAAAGCAGCCATTGTTTTCCATTCCTGTAATTATAGGCTAAATAAAAAATCTAAAAAAATCAACGTGCATAGACTTGAAAATTGCTGGGGTGAGATCACACATAATCCAATCCACAGTGAGAAAAAAGGCTTTTATTTTCATCAGAAAAAAGGCAGTATGTAATATTGTATCTCTAAGCGCAGAGATCTAAAAAGTTACAATACAGTTTGACAAACATGTAGGCGGAAATGATGTTCGCTGTTGTTGATCTCAAGCAGGTTTTAAGTCTCTTGCAAATTGATTTTACCTCCCACAAATGAAAGAAGACCAAGGTGTGATGCGAATATAAACGCATTCATAAATATAACACACATTAGGAGTTCTTTGAAAAATGTGTAGCCCAAAGTGTGCACGATTCTGTAACAAGACAGACAAAAACTACACACTGCTGCTAGATAGGGCTGAAATATCAACTCACCGGTACCAGTCCAGCCCCTTCTCGTAGTTCCTGTCAAAGAAATGTGGCTCATTTCCAACGGCTCTGACGTCCGGGTGCACCCTGAGAGCCTCCAGCAGGGCTCTGGTCCCCCCTTTCTTCACCCCGATGATGATGGCTTGAGGAAGTTTCTTCTCTCCATAATCCATGGTGCAGTTCGCCCTGAGTTCGCTGTCCGTGGTGCTGATTTCCTGGTGCTCCCTCTCCAGCGCGGTGGTGTGATACGCCGCCGCCGATTTAGTTGGAGACGCCTGGGTCCTAATCCACTCCACCGTCCTTTGTTCGGCCTCAGCATGATCCTTCACGGTGGAGACGGCGGTGGTTCTCTCGGCCTCGGTGAATTCGGTCAAGCCCGGGGAGGCGGAATAAAGTTTCTCCCTCAATGTCACAAAAGTTGTCTCCTCTGTCACCAGCCTCCCTTGATACACGTAGTTCTCTTGCAGGGGGAACTGCAGCGAGTTGTAGCAGCTCATCAAGCTATAGAACAAGTAGGTGACAGAGAGGGAGAGGGTGAACATGAATAAGATTTTCCGGGGCACTTTAGAGGTGAAAACCGAAGTGCTGGACCAAAATGCCATCTCTGATAGCAGTGATCCTCTCAAAGAAGTGGCCAGACATGTTTCCACCCCGAGTCTTGCATGGACAAAAATCAACAGCAATAATCAGTCACTATCAGCGCTGCTCCAGCTAAAAAGCGTGAAGCTGGACCAAACCAACCCAATCCAACCAAATCGCATATTTATGAGGATGGCGGGGGGAAACAGTCCGTTAAAATTCCGGAAGAATATCGCGTCCCTTTTCTTGAGTATCGATTTCTTATTCCAAGGCTGACAGACAATGTCACAATTTATTGGACTGAACTTGCAGATTTGGGAGGCTGAAGGTCTGGCGTCCTTCCAAATGAGCAGCCTGGCTTGAACTGGACACAATATGATAAACGAAATCCTGGCATTTTATGAAGAAAGGGAGAAAGAAAAAAAAAACAGAGAGTTGAAAGTAGGCTTCTTCTCATCAGCCGCTCAGCCCGAAGTCCAGTCCGGTCTGCGATACAAGAGTGGATTCACATCCATCCAGGCAACCTACAAATCCACCGAGTCTTTCCAACAAGAGGCGACCGGGCGCACAATCCTTTACGCTTCTCTCCCTTATTTACTTTGTGTAGTAGAAAGTCGGGCAGCCTTTGCACAAAAGCAGCCACTCTTCCCAGTGGCTACCGGGGCTGCTGCTCGCCGTCCTTGCGCCCTCTCAGATTGGTTGGATCCTACGATGTGCGCATCGGCTGGGTGAGCTCATCTGAAGTGAAGCACACAGAGCACAACTAGTGTGTACACCCACTTTTTCCTCTACCCGTGCACAAGTAGGGTATTTAAACGTCAGATGGCCTTATCTGAAACATTCGTGTGGAAAGCTGCTTCTCCTCATTCACGCGGCCACTTACAGATAAATGAATTAAAGAGCCGGAATATGTGAGAGCGTATTACACTGTAAATTGTTTCATACTGTATAAAGTTCTCCAATAAAACTCCATCTCAGAAAGATTATTTTGAAAGAGATTACATTTTACTGAAAGCTCATGTCTGCACCCTGCTGGTTTTCGGTGGAGCATTGCATAAGTTCATCTACAAAAAGAGAAAGAAAAAGAAGTTTATCCTGATAAATATAAAAGCAGGTTATATGAATCAAACTGGATAATGAGCAACACTATGTTCTGAATTAAAATGATGAGTCACTGGGGGTGTAGTTCTCTACATATTTCTAAATGCAAGAGAGCACATGCAGAAAACAATCCTGTGTTCTGCATTATGCTGAGGATTGGGATGCTGCTTAGGCGTATTATACACTGAATTTATTATACATGGGTGCAGACTATAATTACTGATGAGAATATTCACTAGACCTTAACTTGTACACTTTGTTGCTGCAATATGAGGATTTAAAATTGGGTGCCACTGAAATGTCTCCCTGTATTACAGAATCTCATTCATCACACACCTCCAACACACCAGGAGAGCCAGCGTCACACTAAGTACTGGGTCACAAATAATTTGCAATGCCTTGCTTTCAGAACAGCAAGCCACTGTTATATATAAAGTTCTGTGTTTGATATATATTTATATGTATATGTTGCTTGACCAAATTTGTTCTTCTTAACTGTCTGTAGCCAGCACGGGATGAAAACCAGGGGTGACACAAAGTCATTTTATTATAGAGTGCTGCAGCCTTACTAAAGGACAACAATATAGCAAGGGAGCTCTTTTGCATTCAGCCAGTGCATTTCCACCAAATCAGAAAATGAGAGCTACCAGAACGGGAAAATGTATCTTCACATTGCTCACACTTTCCTAACACAGAGACAAGACTTTTGAACCAAATAGAAATATAGTGCAGGCAATCAATAATTTTATAATAACAAAATGACAATGTTAAAACAATTTGAAGGGGGTCACTTATAGTGATGAACCGACAGAAAATTATCATCTGAATCAGGCAGCTACCCTCGGCCTAATGCAGCTATATATTGAGTTTCAGCTCATTGTTTAGCTGTCCGGTCCACAACTTTCCTGCTTTGGTTCAGACTCACTGCTTGTATAGTTTTTTAACTGTTTTCATGAAGAAAGCTCTAAAAAACCCACTGGACACTACCTGCTCAGCACCAAATGGCAAACAGACACAGTTATCAACAAGCTGGTGAACACAGTGGAGCATTTAGGAGCTAAACTGCCAGATATTTCCCTGAGGAGTTGGTAGAGACCAAAAAAGAGAATAAATATCAAATGTAAGGGAGCAGTGTGTAGGATTTAGTGGCATCTAGTGGTTCAGTTGCAGATTGCAACCAGCTGAATACTGCCCATCTTCCAAGCATCTAAACTATGGTGGCAGGAACACACAAATGCCAGTATCTAGAGCCAGTGTTTGATTTGTCCATTCTGGGCTAATGTTCAACATGGCAGACTGCATAGATAAAAACGGCTCATATTAAGGTAATGAATTATTTTTAGGTGTTTACACCCAAATGAAAACGCAACTATGAATATTACATTCCATTACTTCCAATAGATCCTCCTAAATGTTACACACTGGACTGGAAATCACATATGCAGGTTTTTCTTCTTAACTGACTGTTGTATATGTGTGAGATGCAAATGTCTAATAAACAGTATGTTTGCTATGTACTGTATATCTTCCTCTGTGAAAATACTTTTGCATTATTCTTCTTCTGATTTTAGTTCCATTTTTATGTCCCAACCAATATGACAAATTAAGTTATTTACAAACTGTACATAAGCAATGCAGGTGATTGGATAAGGGGGAGGAAAGCGTGAACAAGTGCTTGGAGCACAATGGTTCCTGGGTGTTTGGCAGTCAAGAGAGCGTAGGAGAACTCAATGGGTTTGTTGAAATTGTTGTATTCGTAAATTGCCACTCGGAGAAGCAGAGAGCTCTCTAACACGAACTGGCCCGTTTGTAAATTCTTGCTGTTATCTGTGAGAGATTTCTGAGCATGCTCAGAAATTCTTGCTGTGGAGCAGTTGCAGCAGAACATTTTACTGTTAATAACAACACAAGTGAAGTGGTATTAAAGATGGCTGCCGCCACTCAATGCTGATGATAAGTTATTATCAGAGGACAAGAGAAAATATATTGACCTGTTTTATCTTCCCTTTGTTGTGTCTGTTATCTGAGCCATTCATAAATCGTTCAGACACTGTCTGTCCCTGTGGAAGCTGAGTGCTCACATTGTCTTTATTTGCATTTACAAACAAGCAGTCACTTCAGAAAAATGTAGTTTATTGAAGTTAAAGTCCAGGCAGCTGCTTTGTTAAAATGTGAATTTACTGGTTGTGTCACAATGCCAATATCAAATGAGCCTTTTCTACCTTACCTACTGGCAACAGGTGAAGTTTAAGGTTTCAAAACAACACTGTTTGCCACTTCAAGTCAACTAACAGTAATTTAGTCACTCCAGGTCAAAATGACTCATCTCCTTGTTTCATGTAAATATGGCACAATCTAACCGCTCTCGTCTCAGTCTACTAGCACACACTCACAATGTGACTGTGAGCCGCATGAAGCATCGTGGCCCTCTTTGCAGCTCACATTAACATTCACCTCATGTCTAGATTGTATTCAGATATGAATTATCCATATTACATTTATACCTGGAATTAAAAATGTGTCTCAGCTATCCAATGTGTCTGCACTTCTATTGCAATTATGATTTTCAATCCTCACAATATCCACTCACAGTTAATGTAGAATTATTCATCTAATTTGTTATAAATATCATCTCACTGGCTTTAGAGGAGGCTGCTTGAATATTATACAGAGAAGACACATTTATTTCACAGCATTCATTGGAACTACAGCTGAATATTAAAACAACATATTCTTAATATCAGTATATAGGGGTATCTGCAGAACTAGTGCTGTATATCATCAGGTACAGATATGGATCATTTTCCGGAGTTTTTAGCTTTTCAAATCGCAACCAAACAGCTCTACCTACACCAGTAATTGATGGTCAGTGCATTGTGCTCTGTGGCGCTTGTGCTTTGGATGAAGCCTGGACCGCCTGGAGGCAGTTAGCACAGACAAGGTTAAGGACTAAATTGCATCTTATACAACACTTGTCATCGCTTCTGAATAGAGCCAGAGACAGAGCTCCTACAGTGTCTGATTCATCATCAAAAGGTGCAACACAAAGGACTCTAGAGACTGTTTTATGCAAAAAATCCAAAATCCAAATGTAATAATTCAAGTTTTATGTTTCAAATCCAAATTTCTAAGATGCACCACACAAGAAGTTCCTGTGCTGTTAATACAAAATACATCAGGCCTCTGGCACTTTCTCAATATAGCTACAGCTTAGGAGCTGCTGCACTACCTTAAGATTTGGGTCTTCTAATATGAAATGACCTGATTCTGAACTCTGCCACAGTCTGAGCCTGTCTGGTGGAGCTGAGATGAACGGCCATTGTGGGGAGGTTTTGGCAGGTAGCTACAGCCATGCAGACTGTCACAGTGCTCAGTGTAATTTAAGTCAGAGTATTACCACACCCCGTTGTTCCACTGGGGCTGACAGAAGAGATGGTTTATTGGGCTGCAATTAGACAGAAGATGACAGAATGGATACAAGTGACCATCTCTCCATCAGTTGAATCGACCCAAACAATGACAAAAGGGAGTGTACTAAATAGCAAAGGAAGAAGTTTCTCATAGGCCCCAAATGCAGTAAAATCTACTAACCAAGTAACTGTAAATCAATATTTATATGATCGGCTCATTTATTGCGACCAGTGAGTCATGAAGTCACAATAAAGTAACCTAGACATGTTACATTCTCATGAAGAAATATATAAAGTTAAAAAAGAAAAAAATTTGGATAGAGTATGTGAACTTACACCAAACTGTATAGTGCTGGTCTGGGTAATGCATATGTGAAGGTAAGCTGAGCAACAAAATAGGTGACACAAAGACAGGAATTCCATGCATCCAGAGACCTGGAGCCTGGGGCTGTGCATATAAACAAAACCTGGGATCTATAAACACAAACACAATGTCCAAATATGTTTTCCCCTTCACAGCTGTATATCCTCGGTATAAAGACCTACTGTTCATTTTGAATGTGATTTGGGTGTGTTGGATGACAGCATTGAGCAAGGTTTGGATAATGAGAGGAATTAAAAACTATATATACCTCAAAGTGCATGCTAACATGCTAAAATTGGGAGGAATTTAAAGACAATTTACGCAGTAGGTATTTTTAACTTAGCACCTATTCTAATGTTACTAGGTACATGAGCGTGACCAACCTTGAGAGCGGCATCAGGTCATGCACTGGGACAGAACATAAAATCGATCATCTTCTACAACTGCCTTGGCTGTGAGTTGGACACTCCTGGTTTTCAGTTTAGCTGTACTGTAACCTCATCATCTACTTCTTGTACTCCATAACAAAAATAAACAGCACCCTG